ACTCTCCTGGGCCCAGATGCTCACTTCTGCCCAAAGTTCCCCTTCTCTCTTGCTGCCACAGCTACTCATGATGCAATACAAACAGGGGGAACGAACCTGGCCGAAACCCAATTCACTCTTGAGGTCAATTTTTGGAGAATGAGCTACCCAATCAGGTTTGCCATGAAGCTGACACAGTCAGTCACAAACTGGGACAAAGGAAGCAAACTCACTCAGTGTTCAGAGACCTGCTTCTCCTCATGACCAAACAGTCATGGTGTCTTCAAACTACGGTTTACAGTAAGAATTGTAAACATTCAAAAAACATTGCCCTGACAGGAAATGAAGAGATTCATTACAAGAACCTAAAAGCCTAAGACCAAAATTCATGCAGAAATGGATGATCACTTGGTAAATCATACATGCCTAAGCCCTTTCTAACATAAAATAATGGAACCGCATTTTGCTTCTGAAAGCCAGGTAGCCAGTGGATACCCTTGAGAGCCCCTTGGAAAGTGGAACTGGAGTATGCTTAATGCCCAATATGAAATGCCAAAGTCTGCAATTTAAGGTTACACCAAAGCTCCCAGACTCTCAACCAAGAGAGATTATAGATGCCTCTTCACCATTAAAGGACACGCACAGCCAACAGCACAAAGGTATCAGGCTTGTAGTTTTCATAAACAATGAGAGTACCATGCAAGTATATTTAGTTGTGTAAGAGGGAAACCTTAGCTGGTATCTGAAATACAATATTAACTGTGGGGCTGTAAGGCAGATGCATTACCCCTTTACACAAAGCCAGAGCACCTAAATATGTAAAAGACTAGCACAAATGGACTCAGTAAAATGCAGCATAAGACAGGAATCAACATTTGAGAGAGACTGGAAAATCTCATTTGGATATACCAATCTAGCTAAAAGAATGGCCACCATGGTGATCATTTCTGGAAAGTGTGGGGACAGTATAGTGTTGTAACATTTTTAGAAACTGAGGGTATACCTCCCCAAATCACAAGAACAGTTCCACAGGACTTAGCATAACCTTGTTCATTCCCATTCCGAGGCTACCAATGTAGCTTGCTTTAATTAAGCTCCTGTTCTAGAAATTTAGATGAAACTAAAATTAGGGAGTTGTATGCAAAAGGCAACACAAAGCCTATCTCATTCCCTCGGGTACTGTCTTAAGAAATTACAGAACAAAAGCTATGTACATTATTTCTGGTTCTCTGATAGATCAATTTCACATGAGGACTGCCTTAATAGTTTATAAAAGTTTAATTTAAAGCTACAACTATGTGCAGCTTCCCCAATCATATCAGAATTTTTCACAGTATTTCCAACAATACTCTTCTTTAACTGACACATGTATTTATTTATTTTTCAATTAACTCGGGATTTCAATAGAGATGCAGTTAAAATTTATTGTAGTTAATACTCCCCATTCTACCATGCTTTCTAATCACCAGCTTGGTATTGTTCCCCATACCTAGAGCCATTTCTCATCTGCTGCTACCATCTCCAGTTGCTCACATCACTGTCCACAATGTTCCACATGAAGCCAAACAAAACAAATGAAGAGAGTATAAAAGGAGTATGTAAATAGTTACTCAGACTGCAAAAGGAGACATCAAATTAAGGAAGAAAACTGGGGAAATAAAAAGCAACAGAAAATATTTACAGAGCAACATGACAGCAGAAGGTTAGCAATTTTAAGAGGAATTTAGTAACATTTAAGATAATTATTTCACTTATCTGTACTGTAACAGCACATAAAAGATCTTGGGACTCTTCGTGCCACTGTACAAATACCAAACAGTTTTCTTTGAACGGTCTTTCAACCTTATTATTTTTATTAACCTTAATTCTCACTTCCCTTTTTCTGATCTGTCACCATCTCTTGCAGCATGTCCCTATCAGCCCTCACTGAGGTATCAAAACACCAACTTCACTCTTCATATGCTCTGCAGCACCAACCTCCATACCCATTTCTTACTTGCTAGTGAGGCTGCTTTCACGCTTGCTTCAAGGTGTCCATAACTCCTAGAAATTGATCATCATGAACCCCTGCAAAATTAGCTGTAGGGTTACTGAAGGTACTATGCACCTTCATATTCCTACTCAAGACTGTTAACCCCCAAATACATAAAGAATTTAATGACCTAGGTCACCAGTGTGACAAAACCAACGTTCGTCTCACAGACAGCTATGACAAGCCATACTGGAAGCCATGCCATATTGATGCCCTATACTGAAAAAAGCTGTGCTCCTTCAGAAGAGAATAATCTTTGTGATTACCCAGCAAATTTGAGATACGCAAGATCATATTCCAGGAGCAGTGCCATCGACTGCTACAGTGGCACAAAAAAACAAATATCCTGGACTGGGTTTTTAGTAAAAGGTTTTTGATGATTTGAGGCAAGTCATGCTAAGTAGAGCACACAAGCAAGAATGCTGTTAGACTTGCCTATACAACATAGAACATGGACTCAATACTTTAAGCTGAGGTTATAAAAATATATATAGTAAAGGTCATTACCAAAGGGAACCCCAAATAAAAACCATTAAATCATCCATTGACATTTATGAAAGTTGAAAGCTGTACTCGCAGATAGACATCTGAGGTGCCTCAGGTAGTTTAGGATTTATTTTAAACAGTGCTATAAAATATAGCTGTAGTGCTTTCACAGCTAGACTCAGACCTTGAGAATACACGTTTTTGCAACAGAAAAGCATTTTAACTAATTGACCCTATTACATGCTGGTCCTTTATAGATAAGGTCTTCCTGAACTTCATTCCCATTACTAAACACCAAGAAGAAAAAAAAAAATGGTAAAAACATACATGGGGAAGCCAGGTGAACCACAAAAGGCAGTGAGAACAAACAAATAAACCCTATCTGACACAAACTGGTTTCTATAGACCTACTTCCATATCTCTGCGTTAATTTCCTCAGCTGATGTATTACAGAAGAATTTATTAGTGTGAATGCAGCGTAACATTGAATCATAAGAGATTCAACCTGCATCTAGTTAAAGACCTCTTGGACCTAAAAACAGGGTCTATAAGCACACACATCCCATCCAGTGAGGCTCCACGTGTCGAATCCTGATCTTTACTAGCTAAGCTAGATTTTTCTTCGGCTCTGTGCACAGTATTCCCCAACATCCACTCTATCTTATACAATGAACACAATGAACATAGCTCATTATGCAACTAATGTTTCATAAAGTGACACTAAAAAAAGGTCACAAGGCTGAAGCAAGGACAAGGCAGTATGTATTAACTGAAAGAAGTACCTCCCATATTTTTTAGACAGTCTCAGCAGGCAATTTCACAAGTCTTAGCTATGTGCACCTCACAAATAACCATCTAAACTACAAAACCTTGCAACACTTTATTCAAAGGTGTTTTCTACTTTTGTAGGATTGCCCTGAGGGGCTGATTGAATTAGAAACTACTAAAAAGCAACACAAAGAGGTCTAAGGTAAAGTGTCAGAGGAGCTATATAAAATGACATCCACACACACGGACAAGTTTTGAATTCCATCATTTCAAAAAAAGCTAATTTCCAAACTAAGCAGGCAGAAATACATTTCCAGAATAGTCATGTGCATCACTAGCACATCACAGTAAGAACCTCTCATTAACTGCCAGCAGCAGGCCAATTTTAAAAGAATGTTTAAGGAATACAAAAAAAACCCAACACAAAAGGTGTTCCTAAAACTGAGAGCAAAACATTACTTGAAACACTAATTTCTATCACCTTGATTTAAAAATAATTAGGTCTTCATAGCGTGACAAAAGCAACTACACATAGAAGTTTTTCACAGCAAAGCAATCTCCCAGAGATAACTTTTGTAAACAGTTTGTTTTGGATTAACAACTCATAAATGCCCATCCACAGCAGCAGCAGTAGTGAGAAGCCACTCTTTAAAGATATCTCTATACAATACTATATGCAAAATACAAAAGTTTGAATACTGTTTCTGGCTTACAGAAGGCTTACAGAACACTGGGAAAATGAAAGAAAGAAACAGCAACAAAACAGACAAAGAAAAGACAGAGGTACTGAATTTCATTCAAAGAGCAATGACATTTTTCTCCCAAGATTTATTTTCAGAACAGGACATAGGCATCCACAACATGCTTGTATGGTGCCTAGGACAATGACATCCAATCCTGACTGGAACTTCAAACAGAACCACCGTATATACTACAGCATATTGGAAAGAATATTGCTTATGTAGTCCTGCACAGGCAACATAATCAATGTCTCAGGATTAAAACACACCCTCTACTAAAAGCAGTGAAAGATGAAAAGGCATTAAAGTGGTCTAGCAAGGACTTCACTAGCACTTCAGGACTTTCCTAGGTGAGATTCTATCTGCCCCAGTAGACTTAAAAGCACAGTATCACCTACGCTTCAACAGATTGATAATTCAGATGGATTCTGAGAAGCAGCAGCCGCACTTACTCATCAATAAGTTCATTCCATAAAGTGACAAATTCCCAGGAACCTATTCAGGACATACTTTATTCTTATTACTGTTCACCAACAAGTAGCCTTAAGAATAACCTTCTGTTTTAAAATTGATATGACATCCATGAAAAGACTGCACTGAGGAGATAAACTGGTCTGCTGCACACCCTAAAAATTTCCTAAATATTACATGAAAGTCTATAAAGCCATATACTCAAAATCCAACACCTTTAAATGTAAGAACAGGGTCAAACTACAGTCATTCAAACCCCAACTCCTCTGGCAAGAGAAAATGAGAGAATGCTGTTACGGTATTTATTGTGTACACTGATTTGTGGACAATAAATACCACAATCAACTCCCTTAAGAGAACAAAATATCATAGCCCAACTTCTCATGAATAAGGAATTAAACTACATAAAAAGTGGTAAAATATGAAAATAAGTTTTGATACCAAAGACATCTGTTGACTGAAAGAAAGGTGATGTGAGAAAGTATTTCAGGTAATAATTAATTAATAATCCACTCAATGCTTACCCATCTCTTCCCTTACTGACAATTTTAACTTCGAAATAGTATATGCCACAGGCTGCAGGTATAGGATGTGTAGCTCGAACAGAAGCAGCATCTTTTGGAGTTTTTCCATGACCTGAAAAACAATTGCATTCAAAACACAACAAAAACGTATGTTAGATAATTGCAGAAGATGACTCAAAGGTATACAGACCAACTACTCAAAATAGAAGGCTTATGTAATGAGCAAACAATATACAATATTCTAATCAGCATTTTTATGGTAGAATATTTTCTTCTAACATTAAGTTTTCATTGTAGGCACCAGTATTGCAACTAAGCATGCTCTGAGAAGTTCTGGATACACTAATCTAAAAGGTTCTACGATTATTTGAAGGGAAACTAGACAAAAGTTTCACTGCGGGTGAAGTTCTGAGATACACTAATCTCTGCTCTGAGAAGTTCTGGATACACTAATCTAAAAGGTTCTACGATTATTTGAAGGGAAACTAGACAAAAGTTTCACTGCGGGTGAAGTTCTGAGATACACTAATCTCTGCTCTGAGAAGTTCTGGATACACTAATCTAAAAGGTTCTACGATTATTTGAAGGGAAACTAGACAAAAGTTTCACTGCGGTAAGTAACGTAATTGACAAAAGCCAACCTGGGTTTGAAAGAACTGTTATGATTTCTCAAATGCACAGGGCTTACTCATTTTTGTAGACTGAAACACGATATAATGGAGTTTAATCTCTAATGTCCTTCAGTCATTATATAGAATGTCAGTTATTATATAGAACGTACGACTCGCAATTCATTTCCATGTTCTGAATGTTATTTCAGGACGGCATTAAGCGTTACAGCCTGCAGCTGAGCTACTGCAGCTCCTACTCCTTTTTCTTACAAGGCTCGCTATGTATCAGCTCTGCAACACGAATAATGCCCAACACCAGCTCTTGTCTACTCCAGGGGTTTTCAACCTAAACCCAAGAGCCACTTGCACGCCACTAAGACTAACTCTTCTGAATGCGTCACCCTCTTCATAGCCCTTTGTTCTGAAGGCAACTTGGAAGCAGGCTTTTGGCTGGATGACTTGTTTTAGCAGCAACCTGTTCAAGCAAGCTCAGTAATTTCATCCAGGCACACTAAAATCCCTCCATTGCTGAGTGAAAGTCACACACAGGGTCACAGGACATAGTTCAAAAAAAAAAAAAAGAAAAAAAGAAAAAAAGAGAGACCACAAGGTGGGAACCATATTGGATCGTGACAAGAGGGCATTTCAATAAGACGGCAACCAGGAACAGACTGTCATTGCCATAATTCCCAGAGATCCCATACCCACTCTATCTATGTGGATCTGGGGCATGATGGAAAGAGATGACTGTTTTGAGTGTGCTGTACAAATCACTTGGCTGCAGCACTCCAGTCCAGCTGTCATCTCTGGTTCAGAACATGGAGATCTACTGCACCTACACAGCAATTGATCTGCATACGCCAAAAAAAGAAAAAAAAATACACTCCTTCCACTAGCATTAACACCGGAATCATTGCTCAGGCACAGATTAATCAGGTCTCATGTGCAGCAAGGCAGGTCAAACAACAAGGAAGAAGCTGCAGAAGAGGACAGCACAGCCAGCCAGAAAGATCAGACACAGCTGACCTACACTACTGAACCTCTAACCACAGAGCCCTCTACTGTAAATGTTGATAAAGCTACAAACACTTATCTGCCTGCAGAGCTGGCACCAACCCTCTCTTACCAAATGGCATATGCTCAGCCAAGGAGAACTCTCCATTTCACTGTGGCCACATTTGCATCCAAAGCTTTGCTAGCACAGCACAACACACTGAGATTAGGTTTAACCTACGTAGTTTTTCAGACATGACTAGTTCACCTCAGTGTGTTACTACCTTAAGGCAACTAACTAGCCAACTATCTTACTTTTCTGGGTGCAAATGCATTGCTGACTACAATACATTATTACTAAACATTTTATATAAGGATCCTTTGATCACCTCACAGGTTTTACAATATTAAGCTTATTACCTAACTTCTGCATGTTGTTTTCAAAAGTCTCACATGAGGAAAAACAGTAATTTACTCCTCCATACACAAGACAGCATGCATGTTTTATTGTTCACCACTTTCAAGTTATTTCCTCAGGCTGTGTCAACCAAGGTAATAACCAAGTACATAACCTTAGAGCTTCCATATGTTTGCTTGGGTTTCAAGTGCTGGTAGTTCACTATTTAGCTACTATTAATTAGATTATCATTCCTAAGTATGCAGACATCCTTCAGCTAAAAGGCACCCAAAACTTTATGGCCAGAACATTAAACTCCTGAGAGATCCCTTAAATTCAGATAGCTCTGATTAAATGATGCATTAGTTGGAGAGGGGAGCGGGAGGAAGGAAAGATACTGTCTTTTTAAATGTCCTTAGGTTTTTACTTTAAAATAGACTGCAAAGAAGTTCCCTTGGTTACTCTATGCACTTGATAATCTGTGTAGTTTCAGTCTGAGTCAGCCTCCTTATTTGGACAAGTCTTCCACATAGAAAACTAAAGTAGTAGGAACTAGCCAAATATTATTGAAAATGTACATCTATCACCCAGCAGACTTTGTTTCGTGAAATCACAAACTAAGTGTTTGGAAACAATACCAATTTAAGGTATTCTTAGCACCTCTTCCTTAAACAAGTCCCCTTCTCTCACCCCCTCCTCAATTCAGGCAGCTATTTGTGAGAACATACCATGGACCAGATTGATTAGCTGATCGAGCTTTAAGAAACCTACCAGATTTTTTTAAGCAGCAGATCAGTTCCCTGATCCCCTTCACAACCCAGCCACACACAGCTGTCACACTGCAAAGAAGAGGTCGACACAGGGGCAGAAGTAACAGGATACCTTACCAGTATTGCCAAACTCTTCATGTGGTGAAGCAACATGCTTGGGGAAGTCAGTGCCCAAAAGTACTTGCATCCCATTAAAACAGAAGACACCCTAAATTTAGAACTGCTGTCCTTTTAATATAATCTCCTACGAATCCCCTTCTACTACTTGAGTATGCTGCTTTTATTTGTAGTTACATACAGTTACTATTTCTAACAGCAAGTTCGCCAGAGACAAGCAGTTAACTACTTTCAAATATTCCAAATACCTCTACATTGTCTCAACATGCTAGTTGAGACTTCCAGTACTACCAAGCCATGTTGGATTACACGGGGAGTCAACAGATACTAGTTATCAGCCAGCTTCCAAACAAGAAAGAGGCTCTTTACAGAGCAGGCAGTTGAACTGCAAAATTTCTTACCAAAGGATATTATAATGCTACTGTTTTAAGTGGACGCTGGATAAGCTTCTACAGCAGAAATTAACTGAGAAACCGCCTTCAGCTCAGGATGTCCTTCAGCTTAAAATGGCTGGAAACCAAGAGGGGAAAACACAGATACACCATGTATGCCCAACGTGTTTTTAGATTTTTCCATAGGCACTCACTCATGGCCACTGTCACTGATGGGACACCAAGCTGAGTGGCCCGTTAAGTCTGACATTATATAGTGCTGCCATTCTTTGGCAACCTGATTCCCCACTTCCTTGCTTGTCAATAAAAGGAACCCAGTTCTGAACTTCTCAATTGGAGGTTCCAAGTGCCCGAAGGAGAGGATATGAATACTCCCCTATGTTCTTCTCCAGGCTTCTTCCATGGTTGCAAGCTACAGCTAAAGTATTTAAAAGAATACCTGTGAAGTATGTATTATTTAACACTAAAAATTAACCATTTTCAGCATTAAGAAGAGAATTCTGCTAACAGATGCACTGGGGCAAAGAACGGAAAACAGGTGTACGAAGCTTGAACTTTACACTGCAAATCGGATCATAGGTAAGTTCAATTACCAGAATTGGTTTTGACTGGGCTTTCATTAAAAGTGTTTAACAACTATGAGCTGAAAACACTCAAGGAATAAAGCTTTATTTTATTTTTTAAGCAGTCACTGACACCAATGAGTTTTACTAAAAGTAGTATCATCAGCCCTTCAGCAAAAAAATGGAAATTAATCTAAATTTAAATTCCACCTACTTGAAAAAAGCCAACTCAAATAAAACCACATTTGAAAAAGTCATTTCAGCTTTCAAAAATACCATCTTTGAACTTAGATCTAAGTGTGTAATGCATATGCACCAAATAGTCCAAAGAAAGTCTATAGGAGTGTGTACCTAGACAAAACTAAGTGTGTTTATACAGTTTAAATCCTTAAATGAAGTTTACATAAGCTGAACTGCAGTTATTTCCAACAGGTGGTCCAATGACTTGCTCACACTGCCAAAAATAAAATAATCAAGGCCTAATCTTCTGCTGAATTCATTAGGAAAGTTTCACTGAGACAATAAAAAAAAAAAAAAAAGTGCAAATTACTGATTTTACTTCAACTTTTTTCCCCAATTTAAAAAACCAAGACATCTCAGAGCTACAAAGGTGTCCAAAACAGGCACACTGTACTGTACTGAATGTACTTTGAGTGTTTTCTGTCAGAAAAACTGACACCATCCTCGTGCCACCGAGTGACAACACACAACTATTCCTATAGAGCCCTATGCTGCTTGTTAGAAAAACTGGGATGCACAGTTTGCACAGAAAAATAAAATCATTTTGGCTTTCTTTTTTGGGGGTTTTGTTTTTGTTTATTTCAGTTTGGCACTAGAGACAGTTCAAAGGCAACTGTATTGTAAATAAATGTCTGGCAAAGATTTCCTGGCCTGTGATACATTAGAAAAAGTTCACGCAATGGCAGCTTACTCAAAATTGCGTAACTTTCCTCAGCTTTTTTTGGATAATTGTCACAAGACCAACTAAAGTGAAGTTACTATAGGACTTTCCATGATCTTACCAGTAATGATTTAGTCTGTTTACCTAATTCTGTATATAGTTTCTTTCATGGTTACAATCTGCATTGAGCCTATATTTTCATCTCCTTATAGTACACAGCATAGATTATTATCTACTGCAAACTGAACTTGTCTGTCTAGTGGAACGTTCATATTACATACAGCTTTTATGAAATCCCTGTTTTCAACAAGATTCATGTGTTAATCCTGAGTATTTCAGAAATAGATAGGAATATTTTTAAAGATGTCTTACCTTAATAGTTATATATTTTGTGCAGTAATTGCTTTCCATGTAGCATATACTTGTCTGAACCTTTATGCTCTCTTTACCACCTAAATACATCTCAGAGCTGTTAATATCACAATTGAGATGACATAATTTTTTTTCTGATACTGGTTTTCATGTCTCCCTTACATAAGATATAGATATACCACACAGGCACACCACGAACAACAGTCACTAAGTGTCAGCTTTCTATCAGCTTGCACAGCTAACTGGCAGCAACACAGAAATGTATGTCTGTCCATCTGAAAAACAAAAATACTCCTGGGTATAGTCTTTAATATATTACAGCATCACCGATGCCAATGTATACGTATTTCATATTCAGATTTTGACAAAGCTTCCTAACCAAGAGTCAGAATTTTTAAAAGTATAACAGAATACCTCACCATGGAAAGAAATTAGCCTGTTGTGGTAAACAACACAGCAGTCAATGCATCTGCTCTTCAACCACCTCCTCCCATTTATGTTTTCCTTTTCTTTTTTAAGTAACACTATGATTCTGAGAGATAACAGAAAAGAACACTGACCCTCACGTTTTTCTGGCCTCCAACAAAATTTAAAGAGTGTTATCCTGATGCAAGAATGTGCTCATTTCTTTACACCTCCACCACTTGATCAGTGCCTGGTTTTGTGGCAATTCTGATTTTTAAGCACGCTCTAGGATGCTTGCAAAAAGCTTAAGGTACAAGTGCAGTACACAAAGCACCACAGCTGCAATGGACAGAAAGAGACATCTACTGCAGCTCATGTTTCCATACAAGTTGTCCATTGGTATGCAAGAAAATGAAAGGAATCTTCAAAATTACAGACAGAGGACCATCATTCCTCTCACAAACCAATGAAACAAAAATATCACTGTTCACAATACACCAGCACATTAAAAGCCAGTTATATGAAAAAAAAAGACTCGAAGGCTCTTGCTCTAATTGTTCCCCTGCAACCATTTTTTCCAGAGGCAAGTATCTCCAATACATCCAGGGTGGAAGGAAAGCACTGATGTTACCACTTTCTGGATCCCATCAGTCACAGACAGGAGGAAATTACTCCAAAAAAACAGTTCTATAGCCAGAAATCCACAGAGGCAGCAGAGAAAGCTGAAGTGCACAATGTACCTATGCTACATTAGTAATAATTGCTTTTGATTACTGGCTTCCTTGGACAGATCTGACTTCTCTCCCTTCCCTGAGTATTTTGGTCAAGAATACAAGAGATCTTTATCCATGTCCAATGTGCAATTCAGATTTCCTTTCAACAAAAACATCCACATTTCCACAGCTACTTTGATAGCTTCAGAAGCACTGAAAGGCCAATACTCCACAAGAAGATACTCTGAATGCTTTGAGACCCCTGTGCGCAACTGATTTGTAGGAACAACATTTTACAGTGGTAAGCACACTCTTACTTGCTATTTTCCCTTGTTCTCCTCACCGAACCTCCTCATTTTCTTCCCTTTTATTGTATTCTTAAGGCTGAAGGATCCAGGAGGGAGGAAAGGCAGATGTTTTAGAGGGCTTTTCCCCCATTCTCGGGTAGGAATGCCAGGATACCATTCATTTCTTAGCCCAGTTAGCTACTCCAGGTGCCAGGCTGGTAACATATACATGGGGCTGCCCTAATAGCCACCTTCATTAAATTACCAGGAAGAAAAGATGGGCCACTTGAGAGGCCATTCACTCGCATTTAGAAGAAAAGTGTATACATGTTATATTGGCACCTCCCCTATTCACAGTCCTCTGGGCTAATGTAGGAACTCTTCAACCTTCATCACTTACTATTATTTAACAGGTAGAGAATCCACAGTACTTCCTATGTTACCTGTACTTCAGAAACATGCTGAGCCTTCCATAATTTCTTTTGAGGTAATGAATTTCTTTTATTAACACTAGGGCAAAGGAGAGAAGCTAGGAAAAACAGGCAGGGACAGCACAGAGAAAGCTTGAAAATATACTTCTACAATTACACTGAACAGGGAGGTTCCATCTCTAAATTCCAGTTCATGAGCAAAAAAGATTTGGTCAAAGAAAAACAAACCAGCAGGACTTGATGGCCATAAAGCTATGATCATCTTATAAGAAAAAAAACAACCTCAGTCTGCCACCACTAAGCACCAGAAAATACAAAATGCTTCTAAAAATACAAGGTCATAAAACACTGAACAAAAGCCAGGAAATTCAGAGTCGAGTATTAAATAACATGTCCTTAAATCACTCAGTGCCTCCCAGAAACCTGCTCTATAGTCATCAACCTCCTTCATTACCTTTGTATGGTGCATTAAACTTAGCATTTTTAACAGAGTATTTTGTATGTAATAATAAAGCCTCTATTTAAAAAAAAAAAAAGTCTCTGAGAGTACATTTAATCCTTTCATGGCAGCCAAATCCTGCCATGTGTTTGTGTTGCCGTTTTCCTCCTCCGATTAAACAGTAACATGTTTATCGAGATTTCACTTGAATTTCTCCACTGTAAACTCAGAAAGGATAATTGCAAGGTTGTTTTTTTTCCCCTCCCATTACGTTCCTTTGACTACAGGCTGACAAAAGATCCAGTTCTTCACAGCCAACTCAGAAGTGGTTTTGAATCCACAACACTTCTACTTTAGGACGTGGGCCTAGAACACCAGATGTGTCTGTGTTTTTTCAGGTCAGAGTGTACGCTTACGTTTCCAGGTTTTATGACATTTCATAACAATCAACACAAGTTTTTCTTCTATTGCCTCCTGCTGATTTATACACACGCTCACTGTGATTTTTTTTTACCTTTTCTTGGAAAACCAGTAACCGTGCCATGTCTATGCAGAAAGTTGCAGTCACCTTTATTAACGTAAGCCCTATTGTCATTTCTTCCCTCAGACGGCTCTGTGGTCTGCACGACAGTTAGGCAAGCCCTATGAGCAGTGACTTTAATTCCATTTTTTCACAGTTAAAAATAAACCGTGTTTTTCTCTCTGTGCTTTCCCCTCCCGTCATTTCCGCGTTTAATAGCTTAACGCTCGCTGCTCTTAACTCCGTTTAACCCTTGCCGTTCTCGAAGTGGGGGGGGGGAACAATAACAAAAAAGAAAAAAAAAAACAAACTTTTTTCCCCCCC